AAAAAAAAGTCTTAACAAAGGGGAGATGGACTAAGAACAAGAACAAGAAGCAACAGATGGGAAACAAATTAGAATATACTACTGAATCAGATTCAGGAATGCCAAGCACAGAGCAAAGAAGGAATCCAGTTAGATTCTAGGAATCCAGCTAGAAGAAAATGTGGGAAAAGAGTGAGGCTTAGCTCATGCAGAGCAAATTGCACATTTCTCACTATAGAAATCGATGAGAGCAATGCATACCATAAACACCACTTCTTAGAATTCTGACCAAGTAAGCAGAGCTCTTAAGCATTTTAACACCTTTTTTCTTAAATATGGATGAATAACCAATAAGCAACAGGAATTTTTTCCTAAAAACCTTTAACCTAAAAGATCAAAAGACAGTAAAACAAATAAGGATGCTAAGGAAGAGATATACAGAGCAAGAAAAATAAAGAAAATAAACTGGTGCATTTAGGGACATAAGACAAAGAATGAATGTTATAAACAGGATTTAAAAATATGATAAAAAGGGCCAGCAAGATGGCTCAGTAGTAAACATGCTTGCTGCCATGTTTATGACACACACCTATAAACCGGCTCTTAGAAGGTGGAAACTGCAAGACTTATTCAAGAACAGACTCGGCTACACAGTTATAGTTCAAGAACAGCTGGGGAAACATGAGACTCTGTCTCAAAATAAACAAAAAAGATAACTGAAATGCTACGCAGAGTGAATGAATGTCTCCAGAAGAACTGAAATCAGAAATTATACAAATAGAAAAGACAAAATTTCTGAAAATCAATTTTCAAAGGTATAGCATTTACTCTTAAAACAATAGAGAAAAAAAGTGAACATAAGTTATCAAAGAAATAATACAAGAAAATTTCCTAGATGGTAGGACAGTTCTCTTGATTAAAAGGGCCCACAAGTGACTGGCATGTACAAAAAAGTTAAAACTATGATATCAAAACATTTTAGAACAATACAGATAAAAATACATTCCAGATAACAGAGCAGAGAAAGAAACAAATCATACACAAAAGATCAAGGCTAAGAACAGAAGCCAGGGGTAAGGAGACAGGTCAGTGCTTAATGTGCAAGCACGAGCACCTGAATTCAATCCCTGGAATCCACACTTAAAAAAAAAAAAAAAAAAAAGCTGGACCTGGTGCATACTTATAATCACAGTACTGGGGAGCTAGAGGCAGAGACAGATCGCTGAGCCTCATGGGTCAGACAGCCTAGTCTGCTTGGCAAGCACCAGAACAATGGGAGATCCTGTGTCTAAAACAACAGGGGTGGGGGTGGGGAGGTAGGGGGATGACACAACAGCGTTTGAGGCATGGTGCCTGAAGTTGACCTCTAGCCTACACACACACACGCACACACACACACACACACACACACACACACACACACAGAGCACACACGTACCCATCCCTAAATATACACAATAAAGGCTAGATAGCAAATTAAAAGCAAAATAAGACTCTTACCAAAATTAGTTTTGAACTAAGACTTTACACCCAAACTTTTAATCAATTCTGAGGAATAAATGAAGACAAGTAACATTAGCTTCTTGGGTATCCTGTTTTAGGACACTGCTCTAGAATCCACCAAAATAGAGACAATATGAAAATGCCTGGTGTGGTGGTATGCACATGCTCATGATCACAGTGCTGGAGAGGCAAAGACAAGTGGATTCCTGAGGCTTGACTATCTGGCATGTGCCTGGTCAGTGAGAAAAACATTTGGGGGGGGGCAGAATCTGCAATTGTCCTCTGGTCTCCATATGCGTGCACACACAGACACACACACAGACACACAGACACAGACACACACACACACACACGACATAATTAACAAAAAGGAAGACATAGGTTGCACAGACAGCATTCAAGAGAATACAAAGAAAGTCCAAGGATAGAGTAAGTTCAGCATGCCCAAAGAAAAACAAGTGAGATGGGTTCAGGACTAACAGTACTTTAGAAGGAATTCTCTAGGAGACCAAAGAAAAGATTAAAAAGTAAACTTTTAGATGACCTCACAGGTTTTACTGTGCATAAAACTGAAATGAGAGGCTACTACTGAATGTGTGGGAAGACTTGGCCATACATTTTAATATGACTTATTAAATGAAAAGCAATTGCAGGATAAATGACAATGAAAATTTTTAAAGGGCAGATCATTTTTTAAGTTTACTTATTTTTATGTGTATGAGTGTTTTGCCTGCATGAATATAAGCAAGCCCATGTGTGCAATGCCTGTGAAGCCAGAAGAGAGTGTTGAATTCCCCAGAACTAGAGGTAAAAACGATTGTTAGCTGCTATGTGGTGCTAGGAAAAGTTAAAGATGATTGTTAGCTGCTATGTGGTGCTAGGAACTGAACCCGGTCCTCTGCAAGGGGACCTAGTGCTCTTAACTGCTGAGCCATCTCTCCAGATTATTTGTAAAAAGCTAAAACATTCATCTTTAATGACACATATATTAAATGATATAATACTACATATATATGCATATAAACATTTCTTAAGAAACTTTGGTAAAGTCATTTAAAGCCTTTTCAAACTGTTTGACTCTAAATTGTATGTACATATTGCAAGAACACAAAGAGGAAATGTAGGGAGGGAAAACAGTATTAAGGGCCAAAACTAATCTACCAACCTGTACATAGACACCAGTGGAGCTTGTCTAGACACGAAGGTAGCTAACACTACCAAAAATAAATAAATAAATAATAAATAAATAAATAAAATTAAAATCCCTGGCGTTCTGGTTTAGAGATTAATATCCTGAATTTGTGATTTCTAAATATTCCTTTTTATTATACTAAAGTAATACCATTTCTACCTTTTATATATATATGTATACACAATCATATACATTATATATATGGAGTCATCTTCCAATGTGACTATATTTAGATATAATCTTTGGACAGAATTAAGTCAAAATGAGATTATTAGATCTGGGCCTAATACAGTATGACTGGTGTCTGTAATGACAGGAGGCTAGACACACAGATCTATGAAGGAGGGAAGACCACATGAAGACAGAACATGGATGGCTATCTACAAGCCACAGAGAGGCCTGGGTCATTTCCCTGACAGCCCACAGAAGAAACTGACTCTAGCAGTACTTTGATCTTGGTTTTCTAGCCTCAAGAACTGTCCAAAAATAAATTTTTGCTGAGTAAACCCACCAAATATATAGTATTTTGCTATGGTAGCTCTAACATAGTACATTTTACACACACACACACACACACACACACACGCATGTACGCATGCACACGTGCACACACAGTGTTCTTTGTTCTCAACAGTGCTCTGCCATGCCATTGTTAATACCTGAAATACTGTTGATAAAAATTATACATATAATACTTTTATAATTTTTCAAAGTATATTTATATACAAATAGAAAAAAACGTGATAATATATATCAAGTTGATAAATAGCAGTTATCTCTGTTAATAGGGCAAAAACACTATTTCTATTTAACTTTTAGTGTAATCACTGGTTACTTTAACAATTTCAGGGTTTTAAGAAAAGGTCCCCCACCTCTCATCTCTTATCTTGAAGAAAAATTACACAAAAGCTGCACAGACTATTATCAGTTATGGAAGCAATACTTACTTTTTGGTTGAAAAAAGTTGTCACCCATCAAGTTGCAGATTTGACTTTCTGTAAGTTGTCACCTAAGTAACCATATACAACATCAATTTTATAAGCCAGTGTAACAGCAAATATTGAAACATAAAACTTGAGATTTAAAAATTATTGGCTAGAGGTGTTGGGGAGATGGCACAGTAGGTAAGAGCATTTGCTGAGCAAGCATAAGGACTTGAATTTGGGGCATGGGAATGTGTGCCTACAACCCCAGTGTTGAGGGGAAAAAAACAGGTGGATCCTGGGAGCTTGCTAGCCAGGCAGCCTAACCTAAACAGAGAGCTCCAGGGTCCTTGAGAGACACCATTAAGAAAGAGAATGAAAAAGCAAGATAATCGATGAACTTTTCTGGTCTCGGCCCATGCACATGGATGTGTACAGCCATACACACACGTACACACACACATACACACATATATGCATCATAAATACACACACACAAATAAATAATAAAGAAATTTTTGAACTGAATTTTGAACTCACCATGTGACCACAAAATGCAGCTTATCTTAGTTTGCCTCCCTATAAAATAAAGATACCTAACATTAGGACAGATTGCATTAAATGTACATATACTTAATTAAGCCTTTTTATAAAATCTCTATGTTTAAATTGGATATGTTTGTTAGACATATATAACTCATTTAAAATAATTGGTTCATTCCTGAATAATGCCAAATTTCAGAAATAAAAGTGGTTTAGATCAAGTGCTTACTACTTAAATAAATCCAAAGATTTATTAAATTAAAAAAAATTATTTGTGACAGGCATGTGGTACATAGTTGTAATCCATACACTTGTGAGGTTAAGGCAGGAGAATCACAAGTTTGATACCTAGACTACATAGTGAGATGCTGTCTCAAAGTATATATGTATTTTTTAGGGACAATCTTTCATAAAAGTGAGTAATCACCTCATAATGCACTATTTTAGTAAATCTCACTTCTCAAATGCTAAGTGACAATAATCACCAATTGTTGCCTACTATTCACATTCTCAAATATAATTATTTCTGTAAGAAAACACAATTTTACAGATATTTTAGTTCGTTATTTTTCTGATTTTATTAACCAATGGATTGTAGTCCATCATAGATCAACACATTCAAAACATAGGTACCTGTGTCGTGCTATATACAAGATAATATGCTAAGTTTCAGGAAAAAAAATAAAAATGAGTAAGAACAGTCCTGGCCATCAGAAATTTACACTAGCCCAGTTATAACTCTTGATCTTCTTTAAAAAGTTACAATACACATTACCAGAAATTCACAATTGGCTAGGACTCATGGCACATGCCTGTAATCCCAGCACTTAGGAAGCTGAAGCAGGAAGATGTCAAGTTCAAGGTCAGCCTGTGAGACATGTTTAAAACTAGCTTAGACTTCAAACATTTCAAGACCCTGTTTCATAAAACCCAAACAAACTGAATTTCTTTATTTGAAGTCCCATGTGCATGTAACAACATATACTTTTACAAAAGAAGCATTTAAAAACTGTTACATAACAAGAAAAAAAGGAAACCTAAAGCATTACAATGCCACAGCTAATTCAATCTGTCCATTCTTCTTTCTTCTTAAATTGATAGTTTCCTATGTCCAAAGGCAAGAGATGAGTCTTTTCAGAAGTCATTATCAATGTTTGGAAAGCTATCATAGGACACTTCTTTAATTCTGAGGTATTTACCTCTTCAAGCTCAATTATTTAAATCATTTGTCCCTAATCTAATCAGTGCAATGTTCACGATATTTGCTCAATATCAAAATTATAGGAATTAGAAAAAATTTAAGAATCACAATCACACTATCAGATTCACATACTTCTATTATGTGATTATATGAATTCCATGAAAAATGCCTCAAAATGTTGGCGGCAAGGCATTATATTTCAACGAATGATTAAATCACCTACAAGAGAAACAGAATATCCATCCAACAAAGGCATATGGGATTCACAGTTCTCTTGATTCTAAAAGCTGGTTCTAAAATAGCCAAGAAAAGTGAATTGTCCTTCAGCTACTGAGTGAAGTACAGATTTCACACTCATGTTTATTATAGTATTTCCATTGGAGGAAACTGAATTTCAAATAACTGATTTATTAAAGACCCTTCAAGGGCCAGAGAGATGGCTCGGCAGGTAAAGGATTTTGCAAGTCTGCAGGCCTGAATTCAAAGCCTGGAATCTACATGATGAAGGGGAGAACTGACTCCTCTAACCTTCACAAAAGTGAAGTGGGTGTACACCCATCACATACACAATACATAACAAATCTAAAAGAAAAATTTTAAAGACTTCAACATAATGAGCTATCCTTTGGTGGATTATAAACAACTGTAATTTCTTCTTTGCTATAATTTTGTTTCAGCTTTTATATATCTAAGATTAAACTATATCTTAAAAGGATATTTCTAAAAAAAAATCAATAGGAACATGCTTTTTTTTCATACACACAATTTCTTATTAATGTTTAGCAGTTTAATTTTGAAATTCTGGGCCACAGAGATAGTTCAGTGATACAGCACTTGCCTAGCATGCAGGAGGCTCTTAATTCATATCCAATATTGGGAAGAAAAAAAACTCTTTAGGAAAATTTATAAAGAAACTAACTTATTAACCTTTTATTTTTTAAAACCATAGATAAAATTTCAAATCAACACTTGTTATTGTTCCTTAAGTAACTTTTATTATTAGAAAAGGGAGTATCTAGCTGGGCATGGTGGTGCAGACCTTTAAATCCCAGCACTCAGGAGGCAGGTAGATCTCCGTGGAGGTTGAGGCCAGTATCTGTCTACAGTCACAGTACCTAGAACATGCCCATCTGTCTGATCTCAGAAGTTAAGCAGGGTTGGGTCTGGTTTATAGTTGGATGGGAGAAAGTAAACTATCTATCTTTTTTCAAAATCAGCACAGCTATTACTTTTAAAAAACAATTTAGTCTGAAAATAAGTTCATTCCAACCACACACATTTCATTGTTAAAGACAGCCAATCACTAATAGCTCAACAGAACACAAGCAGATCACAGAATCATAAGGGATCTAAGAGGTTTTAAAGGATAACTCTTACCCAATCGGTAAAATTCTAATTTATTTTAAAAATATTGCCTCCTAATAATGAGCACTCCAGGAAAAAAAGGTCTTCGAAAGACAAAATAAGAAGGCAAGTTTTGGGTCAGGAAAATGGTTCAGTGGGTAAAGTATTTGCTATGCAAGCTGGGTGACCCAAGTTTGATCCCTAGACTCCATATAAAGGTGGAAGGAGAACAACTCCACAAAGTTGTACTTTGACCTTTACATGTGTGTCATGGCATGCACATGTATATCAAACACACAAACACACTAATAATATATAAAATAAAAATTATACAATTTTAATTTTAATAACAAATAAAAAACACCAAATACCATTTTAAGAAGATTATACATTTGAGGATCTTAACTGTGAACAAGTAAAAACAAGGAAAAGTTGGGACTCAGTCTGGACAGAACACACACATATAAAATTATGCACTGCACATAATACTTGACAAAAAACAACTGTGTTACTGGTTTATATATTTACCATTTAGGCTTTTTTAAATCATTACTTTAGAATATTCTCCTACTTAAAAAAAAAAGCTTGCTACAAAACAGCTCCCATGTTATGCTGCGAGCAGCTGCATATATCTGAGTTAACAAAATCTTTACTTAAGTAATGTATCAAGAAGCCATACCAAATTACTGACTTGACAAACGTAAAATAGCCCAGAGACAAATTTCTCAGAACCCACCCCCATAGTTATTATATTTTAAAGTTTATCACAAGAGAGAGAAAGAGATCTTTGTTTTAAGAAAGAAAGAAAGAAAGAAAGAAAGAAAGAAAGAAAGAGAAAGAAAGAAAGAAAGAAAGGAAGAAAGAAAGAGAAAGAAAGACAGACAGACTTGTTCTTTGAAGCAGAAGTGATTGGGACAAGTATAAGCCAAGTGTGGTAGCGCACACCTATAATCCCAGTACTGGGGAAATTAAAGCAAGAGGATTTCAAGTTCAATGCCCAACCAGAATTACAAAGGAAGATTCTGTTTATAAAAAACAACAAACATCTTTGTTTTGAGTAAACTACACAATTTCATTTGTGATGTCAGGTTTCAACACTACTTCCATTCACTATACTGTGCTCAAATTATCAATATAATTACTGTCATTAGCTAACAGTAATGAAAATATTACTTGATTTAGTCAAGCATGGTGGCATACACTATCAATCCCAACACTCAAGAAGCAGAGGCAGGTGGATCTCTGTGAGTTCAAGGCCAACCTGGTCTACATAGTGAGTTCCAGGCCAACCAGGGATACACAGTGCAACTACTTAAACAACAACAACAACAACAACAACAAAAACGGCATTTGATCTAATCTTCAAAACCATCCTAGGATGTGGATACTATTATAGTCCCACTTTGCAGCTGTGGAAGATGAGTTATAGAGACAGGCAAGTACCTTCGCTAAAGTAATACAACTAAGTGGTGGGGCAAAAATTCAATAGCTGGGCAGGTGGCTCAGCACTTCAGGTGCCTGCCTTACAAGCAAGAGAACTAGAGTTCAGATCCCCAAAGCCCATGCCCTGTAATTCCAGAGGCAAGCTGGCTGTGAAGATCAGACTAGCTTTATCAGTGATCTCAGGGTTTGATTGTAAGCCCTGCCTCAGAGAATAAGTAAAAGAATAATTCAGGAAGACAACAAATACTAAACGTGGACCTTCATGTGCACCCTCACACTTGCACCTGCACACACCCACACACATAAAAACTTTTAAAATAAAAATAAATAAAATTCAAGTCCAGTCATTTCAAATACAACATGATTTCAACATTTACAAGGAATGTAAAGATCAAAATTACAGGAAGATTCCATCCCAATGTAAGTTAAGATGTTTACAAAAAAAAAAAAAAAAAAAAAAAAAGGTGAATTGTAAGGAGCACAGATCACAAAAGGGGGAAAAAAGGAAAAGAAAATCAACATTATGTAACTGAAGATGGTCAGTTTCACGATCCCTTCAAGGACCACCCCCCAATCCTAATCTAGTATAGGAATAAAATGTCTGCCAAAACTGACAAATGAGGGACAATCTTTCATTCTTTCGGTTAAAAAAAAAAAGTCCATACTCAGCCATAAATGTAGGCACCCACTCTTCTGTAAATAAACCCCTACCCTATGCTCTGTTAAAAAAAAAGAAATAAAATATTTTTAAATCCATACTTAAATGTTTCATTTGGTCTATCAAATTATTACATTCAATTTTTTTTCTAGAATCGTCTAATGAAGCGGTTGGATTGAAGTCCAACCTTATGCCTAAGTTTATTCAAAACATGTAAATTCCTGGTGAAGAGGGAAGAAAAAAAGTTCATAATCTTAATCAAGCAATACAAAGTGCTTGATGGTTTAAATCAGAACTCCCAAAGACACAGAGAGACAGGTCAGAGGATCTGCTCTAGGGCATGTGGTTAGGGTTACTGTTTTATTAAATACTATTAAGAACGCTAATTTC